TGCTGAGAGCAAAGCAGAGATTATGAATGAGCTGACAAAACCAGCCTGCTGTTGGCATAGGCACCAAGCAGAGATGGAGTAGCTACACGGGAAGTGTTTCATCCATTACTGTCAGAGAAGTCACTTTTACCACTGATCCTGCTCCAATAAATCATGTTGCCAAGCAGTTTTATAGAGGCGTTATACATCCAAAGCTACTTATGGTCCCATTAAAAGAGATGCATTTCTTTTTTAGCTCAGTGTGGCTGAAATGCTGTCACAGAAGAAAGAGAGTCGCTGCTCAGAGCACTATTGTAAAAGAGGTATTATTGTAATTACAGCAGGAGGGACGATGTGAGCTAGGAGCCACCATCTTCTTCCCCTGTCCCATTGCCTTCGGGCAGCCTTGCAAAGCTGCAAATTTGCTACCACAAGCACAATAGCTGCTCACACACCCTTTGCCATGGTGATTGATGAAAATGGGGAAATAATGATGTGACTTCCCCTTTCACCATAAATCACCCATCCCCTCAAAGTGACTAGAGTATTATAAGTCTGGCCAGATTTATACGGACAACTTAACCAATTAGCTCTTTTATAAAGGCTCTTGTCTTCTTAATGTAGTGTTAGATATATTTAGGCATGTGTCTACAAAAGAAAGTATTTCTTTCCAAAGCTAACAAAGCTCTCATTCTAGCAGACTGAAAACCTCAGTCTGCAAACGTTCGCCCTGTGGCTGTGTTCGCATTAGCAAGTTATTCAGTGACGGCAGAGGCCAACCAATAGATCAAAGCAGGGTGTCTGGAGGCACCTACATAAACATTACATATATACATATACATGTACTTAAAACATGCATGCATACATACACACATATTTATACACATACACACGTACGTATATATAAATATATATGGTTTGCTACCATTGAGGCCAGTAGGAAAACTCTCACAGATGATGTTACTAGCAAGTGAGGTAGCTTAGGAAGCTGGTGTATCCAGCACAGCTAAATCTACACGGCATGCATTTAATTCCCATCAAGATTATGCTTTTGAATTTGACTCTGTTTAAATGTGGCTCTTCCTGTGGCCGGCCCTATCGCCATCACACCGCTGCTTTGCACAGCACTGGGAGGGACCTGCCTGGCTGCTAATTAGCAGCAAGGCCACTCCTGTCTCTGGAAGGCAGAGATAATTCCCAAGGCCGTTACCCCACTAAGCCCATCTAGCCCAGCAGACAGCACTGGCAGCCATGGAGATGCTCCTCTGCACCACCAAGCGAGGTGATGGGAGAGGGGCCCTGGGCAGCGGTGCAGCCTTCGCTGCACCCACCGCATCCCAACAACCCAGCAAGGCAGCCACCGACAGCACGGAGGTGCCTAAGCAAGAAGAAACGTCTGCCTTCCAGTTTTCTTTGCACTGTTGTCTTAAATCCATACATAGCAGTTAATGTCATGACTCCCTGTCAACCATCAGAAAAGCACCAAAATGTGCCTGTTTCAGCATTTGCTTGAGACAGAGAAGGGCACTGCACAGGCACAGAAGAGAAGCAAGGAGGTCTCTAGGCAATCTGCTGCACTATTATCCCTCGGAGAACAAATACTGGAGGGGGCAGAGAAAAAGCTTTGGGTTTTTTTTACGTCAGTTCAGGAGTCAATTATGTGTAATGGAGCGGCTGTGACCATGCTGGCCTCAGGTCAAAATCCAGAGCACGCATCTGACTCCTGGCTCCCAACAAAGAGGTTGCTGGAAACCCTCTAATGTCAACGGCAAGTCTGTCTGTCCAAACAAACATGCACCCACAGTGACAGAGGCATATCAAAAAGCTGGCTGACCCACTGCCTATGGAGCAGAGAGACAACCTGCTGGAAGCCCTCAGCCAAAGAGTATTTCTGCCCTTCCACATGCAAGGAACTCCTTGCGGAAGGACAAAAGGATGCCACGGATAGTAAGTTTACCTTAAGTCTGAAAAGCAACTGGACAAACAAATGGGATAAAGTCTATCTGGATCCACCAAGTGCAGTAACAAAAATCCCTGAGTCACATTGTACTACAGACAGGGAAATATTTAGAGGAGATACCAGCCCACAGTGGCACTGATCCTGTAATCTGTCTCAGGTGTCCACCACTGGCAGCAGGGCACTGAGCTAGATGGACCTCAATGTGACAATATGTCTAACATTTCCAGATAGTAGGCTGTGTTGAAAATCAGTCGTAAGTATTTGCCTGAACGGTGTCTGTGAACCCACACATAGGAAAACACAAGTGAACACACAATTTTCCTCACGCGAGCACGCCCCCTAGCTTCTACATTAACACAAATACATCAGTCAAAGTGGCTAAATTCAACAAAAAAAAAAGATTACTCCATCAGCTCCCACCTTCCACAGTCAAATAATGCAGGGCCACACCAGGATACCTAAAATAGCAATTTATTGGGAAAAGTATTATGGTTATTTATAGATGCTGCAACATGATTAGTACCCTAAACAGAAAGATAAACTAGCAAACTAAATTCTTTCAAATCAACAACTCCCACTGAGCTCACAAAGCCAATGATCAGCACAAAAATTGTACATCATAACATTATATTTTTTTTATTTATTTAAAAACTCTAGAAAATGCAGACATAACACAGGCATCTTTGCTTGTAAAGAAAAGGCAATTCAGTTTGCATAAGCTTTTGATATCAGTTAACACTGTCTATGAAACTATACCCTGCCTACTGCATGCAAAAGACCAGTAGCAGGGTGTCCTAGTTTCAGCAGGGATAATTTTTTTTCTTAGCAGCTGTTTAGTGCTCCGGTTTGGATTTCGGATGAGAAGAACACTGATAAGACGCTAATGTTTTTAGTTGTTGCCAAGCAGTCAAGGACTTTTCAGCATTTCATACTGACCTACCAACAAGGTGGTGGGTGCCCAAGAAGCTGGAAGGGGACACAGCCAGGACAGCTGACCCAGGCTGGCCAAAGGGATATCCCATACCATATGACATCATGCTCCGTATATAACTGGGGAGTGGGCTGGGAGGCAGGGTAGCTCAGAAACTAGCTGAGCATCAGCTGCAGGTGGTGAGAAATTGTGCTATGCATCACTTGTTTTGTATGTTATCATCATCATCTTCCTCTTCTGTCTTATTAAACTGTATTATCTCAACCCAAGAGGTTTTGGGTTTTTTTTTTTCCATTTTCAATTCTCTCCCTCATCCCACTGGGGCAGGGGGAGTCAGCAAACAGCTGTGTGGTTGTTTTAGCTGCCCACCAGCAGCACAGGTGGAACCTACAGATGCAATTACTCTATTGGGTCAGATATGTTTCCAGCCATCCAGTGGTTACTTCCACCATTGTAAGAGCATAACGCTTGTCTTGGCGGCTTCGCGGGAGCGTGATGTAGTCGATCTGCCATGCTTCCCCGTATTTACTCTGTTCAGAAGAGTGCATACACGTTATGAAAAAAACCCACCAAAACCATGCTGCTGAGATGTGCAGCTCTCTTCATACCAGGTTTATTTATTGGTCTTCCTAATATCTGAGATTTCACAGGAGAAATTTTGAGAAATTTCAGGATTTTGATCATTGCAGGCCATTCATCATTGGTTGATAGAAAGGACTGTATCCACAGTCTATACACAAGTTCCAAAATGAACTCAGGAATGCGTAATATGGGCAGCACTGTATCCCTCCATTCCTCACCTACAAAGGTAAAAATAATCTGGGGCATGAATAGGTCCCTTTGGATTCAGGGATGGCCTTAGAAGGGCCTTTGCTCCTTAAAAAAACCCCAACTCTTTCAAAACCCTAACTCTTTGTTCACCTTGATTTCCCTTTCGATTCCTACTCCCCTGCACTGCAATCACTAAATGCAGCCAATGGCTGTTCCCCCCTTTTTTTTATTAAATTGTATTTGCTCTTTTTACCCATCCTGACTAGCTGCTTTTGCACACAGGCAACTCTCATGAGGTCCACAGAAAAGCTCTTACATTGGTCAGCAAGAGAGAAAAAGAAAGCACACGAGAACCTCAGGTTTTCTCCTTTTACTGCTGAGATCTGTTCTCGGAAAGCAGGCGTATGTCAAGCTTGACCGGCCAGAACCTGGGATGCCATCTGACAAATCTCTCTTCCAGCTCCAGGGGAAAAATGGCTTTTGGAAAGCGCCTGAACTTTGAGGTGCTTCAGCATCAGAGGCACACCGCTTTCAGCAAAGGTAACGAATTATACAGCCACCCACAGTAGCATGGTGTGTGAGCATGTGTCCACTGCAGGCATCCTGCTGCCTCCCTGGCAGAGCCAGCAACTAAAATGCTGGTTTGACGCCTAACAGTTAAACTCTGATGGTCGTCTTAACACAAGACCTGCCCTTACTATTGTATTTGAAGTTTCCGAAAGCCTATTATTTGACATAAATCCCTGTTTTCAAGAATAGCCAGGTTTTCCTCCTGAAGCAGCCCTTCAGAAAGTAATACCATTTAAGAGATTTTTATTTTTTTTCCCCAAGATCTGCACCTACAGTGAGTCCCCAAGATTCTCTCCATTCTTCAAATGCACCCTCAGATCTCCAGTAATAGGCACCAGCTTTTTTTGCAGCCTGTATTTTTCTAATTCAATTACATTACCACACACATTTCAGCTTTGGCCCTTGTGTAGGCTAGTTTTAAAGAAATACTACACACAAGTAACAGGAAAGTGAGTAAATGATCTTGGGGTCTCCACATTATGTTGCCCAGCTGCTAGTTGAGATCAGGACATAACACACCCCAAAATGTCTCACCTCAAATAGAAGGACAGCTACAAACAGAAACCCGGCTCTTCCTCTAAATGACATTTCTCTGTCAGATGACAGAAGCACGGCTCTCCTGCACACTATGAGACAACGTAAAGGATGTTTTATTTTCACTGTGCTGTGTTGGAAGCAATGCCCATGTCCCTTTAGACTGCTTTTGGAACGGCACAGATAAAAGCAGTGTTTTACAGCTGCAGCAAGCTCAAGAAGATAAAAAAGTCCCTGTACGCACTTCTGTCATGTTCTCGCTAATTAAGTACTTTTGGCTGTCTCAGCATTGAACTCTGGGAGCATGAGGGAGATAAAAGCAAACCACCGAGAGATCACGAGAGGCTGTGTCGTTGAGGACTTTGTCCGGAAGGAAGGAGCAGGATCACCAGGTGGCTCTGCGGTGTTCTTCTAAAATGGTTGGTCCATAAAAGACTGAGGCATAGGTGTGGAGGGAGGAAAGGATGGTCTTCTGCCTCTGCCAAATTGTTAGTTTATTTTGAAGAGGACAGGGACATAGCATGGGGAGGTTATCAGTGCAAGCCAGCACCACTGGGAGCCAGGTGCTCACTCTTTCACAAACCAGACCTCATTGCGTCGCCCATAAGGCTTCATAGGGGGGTCATAACCATTGCAGAAGTAGAAATCCTTGCGGTATGCAGCTTCACTCCCCAGAGCAGACTTCAGCTTGGCAGCATAGTTCACATAATCCACTTCTTTGGCATAGCCACCAAACTGCCTGCAAAGAAACCAAACAGAGAGGTGTTGAGCAGTCCCGTCAGAGCACAGAAAGGAAGAGAGGGAGAACAATATATAGCCAAGATATATTTAATCATGCATTTTGATTCAGGTCCCGCCAACATGCACTTGTGCAGGCGCTGTTCTTTGTGAACTGGCACACTTTGTGATAGATTAAGTCTCAAGGGTTACGCAGCCAGGTTGCAGTCAGCCATTGGCAGGCCCCAAGCAGACCCACGTATATCAGTCAGCAAAATGGCCCTGCCCTTTGAATCGACGCCACATCAGAGGAACAGCTTCCTACAGCACAAGGTTATCTCCAAGTCTGCTCAGCCTGCAGTCCCTGCACCAATGCTGTCCACAGCCATGTTCACTGTGGTGTGAACAACCATCTGGTGGAAACCAGATCATGAAGGCAACCCAAACTCTAGCTAGCCCAAGGAACAGGGGGAATGGGAACAGAGACGCTAGCAATTACAGCCCACAATGCTATTTAAGAGGGATGGGATGGAATCGGTCTGGTTTATGTTGACCTCCCACCAACAGGAACTATTTCCACATCAGCCTGCACCTCACCACCCTGCCTCAGGGTCAAGGTTTGAGACAAAACAGCCTGTTCTTGCAGAAGTGGCCCACACCCACAGCAAAGGGCAGGCAGCAGTCACAGACAGTTTAGAGTCAGCCAAAATAGTTCAAGCAAGGAGGCAGGGGAACATCCAGGGGGTTAAAAACAGGGTGAAGAGCTTATTGTTATTGTGATGCTAGTTTGAGCCCAGCTTGTCAGTCAACAGCAAAGACATTCAAAGGTGATTTGAAGCAGTGGAATGGCTGCTTGTTTCCATGATGGATTCTGGCATGAGTCCATCTAAATGAGGCTTCAGCTGACACCTGTAGTTTGACACGAACCACACTGAAATACATTCTTGATGACTAAGAACCATCTTGATCTCAGAAAGTGATGAAAACAATAGTTTTCAGAGATTAGGAATGACTCAGTACCTTCATATTTACCTTCCCCTGCTCTTCACCAGGCTTTCACAAAAAGGCTTTCAGGACTAACCTCTGCACTTGTTTTCCCAGTGAAAAAAAAAAAAATTCATATCCCGAGTAGGTGCAGCACGATCAATGATAAGAAATGCCATGAAATACTTGTCTTCAGTCTGAAAGACCCGTCCATCTCCTTCTACCACATGCACCCATTGTCCAGCAAGTCACCTAGTAAAACCAACACTGCTCTTCAGAACACCTAGAGACCTCAGCACTTGGGATTGGAAATCCCAGGATGCATTCCTTACGTGGAATAAATGGTCATCCCCTGTTTCTCTTCAATCTTAATGCTTTCATCGCTAGGACAAGGAGGGTTGGCTTGAAACTGGTTTGGGATCCGCAGGGAGACCTTCACTTTCTGCGGTAAGGAGCCATCTTCGGCAGGAAAAGCAGTGATGGAGACAGGAGCAGTCATGCCCATTCCAATCCCTGAAAGAGACACACAGACATTACTAAAGAAGTCTAGGTTCTTGGGAACTCACAGAATTAACAGGGGATTCACAAAAGCTAATTTTAGTTTAGGAAAACTCCTCACACTGAACTCCTTGTGTAGTCAGCCAAGAGAGGGGTCCTCTGACGCACGCAGAAAAGCCACATTAGGCTTCTGCTTGGGCCAAACTTCTCTCTCCACTCACTACATAAGGACACTGGGAGATAAGGGCCACAGGTGACCTCTGGATGGCTTTTTATTAATGGTCCTGTTGCTGTGGCTCTCAGCCATACAGCTCATGCAACCAAGACATTCTGTTCATCTGACAAATCATCTCTAACACAAAAGGGTCTAATAGTTCCAAGGCAGGTCAGGGGCACATGTAAATCTACATCAGTATTTAAATTGTTATCATCTGCACTTAGTGGTGAGCCCATAGCCGATACTGGGTGACAGAAGCTTTCTTCTAAACCCTTCTAAATGCTTCCAGACATCCTATAAGTTCCAGTGCCCCAAAACTCAGAGCTATTCTGGCTTGCAGCAGGACTGTCCATGCTGTCCACTCCAGGAACAGCATGCTGCTTTTCTGCTCATTACTGCCAAGAGGTACCACATGGCACTGAAGAACATTTTTCTTTCCTCTTCTTCTTTCAGCAGTAGGGAACCTCCAGCCCTCAGAATCACTTAGCCACAGAACCAGCTGAGATCAAGCCATCTTTCTAATTTATTTGCTTTGATACCATACCTGTCTCCATGCATATGTTATAGAAGGCACCCTTTCTCCTACAGCAACAGCAATCATTGCCTTTCCAAAACATGCTGCTGTAAATGCCATTTCCCTCTGCACCTGGCTCCTATGCCCATACAGGCTACATAAGTCCCACTACCAGTTGCCTGAGAAGGTTGCAAGAGCAAATATATATGCCTCAACCACTCTGTGGTCTTCTCCTCCTGCTACGGATGATTACCGATGTGCATACTTCAGTAAACTGAGAATTAGAAGCAATCACCTGGAGGCACCATTATAAAACATTACAAAGTACCATTAAAAAGCAAGCTCATTGTTCATTATCCTTTCATGAATAAAAATAGCTAGAGTATATGATAACATATCAAGGTCATAAAAGTTATTTCACTGCCTACAAAGGCACATCACAGAGCTGAAATGCCCCAGATACCCTGGATTTCATCAGCTACCGCTCACCCAGGGAGCCGTGTGATAGATATACGTGTGCCTATCCTCACACTATCCCAGCTGCAAGTTCCTGCTTCGAGTTTTTACCCTGAAACAGAGATGGGTTAGGAGCAGACTCATAGCATGAGTTGGCTGGGCACACAGTGAGCTGCAGCAAGTTTATTTTTCCCAGCAAGGGGCCATCCCCATCACAGACCCCCAGCGCCGGGTGCCACAAGCCAGGTGGGTGCTGCCACCTCCATCCATCCAGCTTTCACCAAAGCCCTGCTAGCAGCGGTCAACCACAAACCCTGCGGGGCAGGGAGTGCCTCTCACCCTGGTCATTGGTTCCTCCGACATACTTGAGGAGCTTGAGCACCCCTTCCTTCGAGGCTTCGTCAAACGGCTTCCCTGCCACCTCCACCACGGCGAAGCGCCCGCCCTCGCACGCCCTCTCCTTGCTCCTGGGGAAGGAGATGGCAAGGGAGAGTCTGCCCTGCCGTGCTGGGAGGAAAGCACTGCCCGGAGGACACCCACCCTTCCTCGTAGCACTTTATATGGCCCGGCTGGCACAGAAACCCCCCGGAGAAACAAAGCCCGGCCGCCCGCTCCGGCCACGTACCTTCTCCCCCTTGCTGAGCACCCGGTAGGGCCATGCCTCCACCGTGCTCAGCAGGGAGTTCTTAATCATGCCCAGCATGGTGCCGCTCGGCTCAGCACGG